CGTCTACAACTTCTTGGAATTGAGGTTGTAAGTTTATGAACCACCTATCCGGATTAGCTTTATGACCCCATCTCATTGTAGTTCCATCGTCTGCAGAAACAAAAGTAGGTTTGTTTCCATCTTGGTTAGGTTCTGAATGAACTTTAAACAATGTTTCATTTCTATATGTTTTCTTGAAATTTAACCTTTTATTTTCACCGAGTTCATCCGAAGATTGAACGTTAAATGCTCGTAAGTAAAAAGGGTTGTTGTATTTGTGTACATTTTCTTTCAGTACTTCCATTCTATGCTGAATATTTTCATCTGGTGTTGGAGTCTTTTGTATGTCGGCAAACATTTTTCGATATTCTTCTACTATGTCAGCCGAATTTTTTTTAGACTCTTGGAAAGATTCCATATTCACCGCATACTCTTGTTGAGGGTCAAGATTTTTCGGCTGTTCCAAATCTTCATCTAGTTCTGTGAAGTTAGTTTCCAAAGGAGTGACTTGTTCGTTTCCTTCAGGCTCTTCTAGCTGTTGTTGCTGAACTATTTCTTCCATGTCTGTTGTATCTGAACTAGTTCTTCCTGTGGAGTTTCTTGTACCTCATCTGCTGGCATTTCATATATTCCGAGACCGTTTTTAAAAAGTTCCCTTTCTAAGTCATCCGGACTCATAAACCTTTCTTCTTTCGTTCCGTCTCTATTTTTTACGCGTTTCATGAAGAGAGTTAAATTGTCATTTAGCTCTGACATCAAATATCTCGAGTAAATTCGTTCATGTCATTTGGATGATATGCTATTAAATCATATCCTTAGCGAGCTTGTATTTTCCAGGTTGAGATTATATCCCCTTTGGTGCAGAGCCATAAAGCTAAATAGGTTCGGGTCAGTATTTCCATCCTTGAACTTTCGAAATAGCTTCTTTATATCTGTCACTAAAGTCAATAGTATCTGGGTAACCATAGTCTTCTTTAAGCATTTTTAAGAATTCTTGGTTTCCTTGTTCTCTACTTCTTTATGTCCTTGCTCTGTTGTGGTTGTGTTGTGCAGGGTTTTAACTGTTGGTTGCTGTGCTGGTTGTGTGCAGGGTTTTGAACTGTTGGTTGTGTTGGTTGTGAGGTGGTTGTTGTGCTGGTTGTTGGTTGGTTGTTTGTGTTTTGGTGCATGCCTATGTCTGTGTCCATGTGACGATGTAAATGTTTTAGGTAGTCTGGTGCAGGTGCTTCTCTTGGAGGTTTGGTGGTATATAGTTCCACTAGCTAGTATATAAGTTCCACCAGCTGGTATATAAGTTCCACCAGCTGGCACATATGTTCCATCTGCAGCGTAATGTCCTACCTGACTTTTCGTTTTTAAGAAAGCATTTACTAGGTCTGTTTTGGTCTGTTGTAACTCTTTTTCTTGACTTTCCACAACAGTTGCTCAACGGCGTCATAGGCACTTTGAACTGCCTGTCTCGTTGCTGCATCTGTTATTTTCGTCATATTTGTGCTACTTCTTTTAACTCTTTGTCGAAACCTTCAGACTTCAGTTTCTTTCCAGATGAGAAGTCGTTCACTTGTTTCACCTTACTATGAAGAGCTTCGAAGGCGTTCTTAAAGTCAGCATTTGTTAAAGTTTCATTTGAACTGTCTTCATCCGCTTGTATTTTTGTCCTTATTGACCCTATGAGTTGGGCTGCTTTAGCGTTGGCTTGGGCATCTAACCAGTCATTGTTAGCTTTTATATATTCTGCGCTTTTCATTGCCTTTTGCATGGCTGCGTCGTTATTTTTACTTTCTTGTGCTAATTTTCATACTGTACGGTTTGGTTCTGCAACTGTAAAAGTTTTTCTGCCTTTACATTTGCTTCAACTTCTTTTTTATACTCATCGCTATCCATATATGTCTTCAGGGCTTTTTGTTTTATCTCTTCATCTTTCAGTACTTTATATTGAGTAGTATGGTTTTTCAAATTTAAAACATCTTGTTCCATTTTGCTACTTCTGCTGCTTTTTCTGACATTTTTCGCATATTCCTCTGTACTTAGTTCTTTCAGTTGTTCTTCTTTCTTCTTTTTCTCTACGTTTAACTCATTGAGTTTCTTTGTGTGTCTGTCATATTCTAGTTTCTTTTCTTTTCACTTATTTGCTTCTGTATGTCTATGTTTGACTTTTTGACATCTGTTATTTGATTTTTGAGTGAACTCAAATTCATTTGACTTTGAGGGTTATAGGCTGTTCCGTCTGCAGCTCCACCATAGCCTGCCTTTCGCTAAAAGTGCCGCTCTTAAACCTCCACTCTGTGCACCAATGACTCGGTTTAAAAGCATAGGATTGCTTGACATTTGTTGCAACATAGTGGGGTCATTCAGCATTTGTTGTTGCAACTGTTGTTGTGGTGTTAGTCTTACTATTGGATGTTTCAATGCTCTCTTCCTCTTACGTATATTCTTACGTAGCTTACGTGGCATTTTAAGTGAAGTTAAAAAGCGGCTTTTGACAGATGTTTATATGACACTTTCTCCGGTTTATAGGACCTCTCTCATATTCTATCTTATCGTATCTAAACTCATAGTCATGTATAAAACTCTTTCCATCTCATAACGGTTTCCAAACCACTTTTATCGGATGTAAAGTAAAAGCATGGATGGTTATGTAAAACGTCTAAAGTTTCTAAAGAGTCTCTCAAAGTATATTTCTTTGAACGCCCGTAACTTTTCTGTAGCGACGATAGACCCTTACTTGTCCGGACATAGTTCTACTATTTTGAGTCCTCTACCGAAAAGTCAACAGCAACGACTTTCAAAAATTTTTAGGGCTAGAAGGCACGAAGTGCCTGGGAAGCCCGCTTCACCCAAAAAAACCTCATTTTATATAAACTGCATGTTATACTAAACATCTTCAGGGGGCTAGAGGGGCGCAGCCCTGGAAGCCCCAATACCTTTTTTTTTTTTTTTTTTAATGTGTATCGAGAAAGGTAGTCTCACGAAAAATCTGACTGTAAAAATGTGTATCGAGTTTTGAGAAATTTATGGAAAATTACGACATCTGAAATTTTTGGTTGATGTCCAAGGGAGAAACTCACCAAGCCCATTATGACAAATTGCTGGAGATTTTTACAGGATATAATGATGTCTCCGATGCTTTGTACCGGCTGAAAACAAATGACGAAGAAAAATTAAACGCAATTTACAACAAAATCAAACAAAACCTGATTGACTCTTATCGAATTCCGCCTGGTGAGATTATCAATAAAATATCTCAACTTTCAATTTATAACAACTGCTTCATGAAGTCATATTTAGCGATTACCAAACAAATTGTTGACGAATCCATCTAAATCAGGTCAACAAAATCAACGAAGTTTTTAACTACATTTTCTACAAAGAATACAATATAGTCTTGAATGAAAATGGAGAAAAAATTTTAACGATTTTGAAGATTCTCATTATTCATCTGATATTCACGAACAAAATACAATTCACAGATCTATTATGTATGATACAAATATCATTGATAATTTTTACAGAAAGCGAAGGATTTGATAAAATCAAAAATTAAAAGTGAATTTATATCCATTCATATGAAGGTATTCATTACTTGAATTGTGTTTTATCATGGATCTGTTGATTGTTTTAAGATCTTAATAACGAAATTTCAATCAGAAATCACTCCAGAATGTCTTAAATATTCTTTTTTGAGCGGAAATCAACCATTCTGAATGAATGCTTGAAAGTACAAAAACCAGATAATGAATGCATGAAATATGCAATAATATCACACAATATCGATTTTGTCACATTTTTGATGAATGAACACAATATAAAATTGATTTAGAATTGTGCTATAAATACAATAATCTTCAATCATTTTTAGTTTACTTAGATCAAACAAATGATATCAACACATGTTTTGTTTATTCTTCGAATTTCCATCTTTCATCACTTTTAGAATATTTTATTTCAAATGGTGCAGATATCAATTCTAATGACGAATATGGATGTACCCCTCTTCATTATGCAGCCAGATAAAATAGCAAAGAAACTGCAGAAATTCTTATTTCAAATGGTGCAAATATCAATGCTAAAGACAAATATGGATGTACCCCTCTTCATTATGCAGCCAGTAATAATAGGAAAGAAACTGCAGAAATTCTTATTTCAAATGGTGCAGATGTCGATGCTAAAGACAAATATGGATTTACCCCTCTTCATTATGCATCCAGTAATAATAGGAAAGAAACTGCAGAAATTCTTATTTCAAATGGTGCAGATGTCGATGCTAAAGACAAATATGGATTTACCCCTCTTCATTATGCATCCAGTAATAATAGGAAAGAAACTGCAGAAATTCTTATTTCAAATGGTGCAGATGTCGATGCTAAAGACAAATATGGATTTACCCCTCTTCATTATGCAGCCAGAGATAATAGGAAAGAAACTGCAGAAATTCTTATTTCAAATGGTGCAGATGTCGATGCTAAAGACAAATATGGATGGACCCTTCTTCATTATGCAGCCATTAAAAATAGGAAAGAAACTGCAGAAATTCTTATTTCAAATGGTGCAGATATCAATGCTGAAAACAAAGATGGACGTACCCCTCTTCATTATGCATCCAGATATAATTGGAAAGAAATCCTTAATTCAAACAAGACAAGACTGTCAAGTTGAATTTCGTAAAGGCAAAGGTTCAAGAGCGTGTCGCCATATTTTTCATTTATTTATTTATAATAATAAAGACTCATATTTCCAGACTATACTTGTTAAATTATAAGATGAAACTTTACACTTTGACTTTAATTCAATTACATGATACACTTTCCTACATAATTCTTAGTGTGGAACCATCATTCACTATATTTTAATCAATATATTTCGAAAATGTAATATAAACTGAAGAGATGTTGTATTTCATTGCACATAAGACTTATGAATTATGGAGCGATACTAGGTTTATAAATGAAATGATCCACTTGTAAAAAGTTTTTTTGCTCAAGTAAAATGACACTTTTTTGCAAAACGTTAGAAAATCCTAAATGTCTTCAAACGAGGAAGCAGGGGATAATGTAATAGAAGAAAACGTCGATGTAGTAGAAGAAACTCCAGCTGATAACGAAAATACAAACGAAACTCCAGTTGAAGAAAATAACGTTCCTGAAAAAATGGAAAACACAGAAAATCCTCCAGAATCTACTGAAAATCATGATGAACCTGCTGAATTTACTAAAGAAGAAAAAGAAAAGAGCAGCTCAAGTTCATCTGATGACGAAAATGACAAAGATAAGGAAAAAGAGGACAAAAAAGAGGGAAAGAAGTCAAGCTCCTCGGATGAAGAAAAAGAGAAAAAGAAATCTAGTTCTTCTTCTGATGAAGAAAAAGATAAAGAGCAAAAGGAAGAAAATGCAGAAGAGCGCAAAGAAGAAATAGAAAATGGTGAAATACATGTTGAAGAAGAAAAGAAGAAGTCAAGTTCTTCATCAGATGACGAAAAAGATAAAGATAAGAAGAAATCAAGTTCTTCTTCTGATGAAGAGAAGGACAAAAAGGAAGAAAATGCAGAAAACACTACAGAGGAAAAGGAAATTCATATAGAAGAAGAGAAAAAGAAAGCAAGTTCTTCTTCTGATGAAGAAAAAGAAAAAGAGAAGAAAGAGGAAGTCTTAGAAGAAAATTCTGAAGAAAAGGAGCTTAAGGAGGCTAATGTCGAGGAAGAAAAGAAGAAATCAAGTTCATCTTCAGATGAAGAAAAAGAAAAGGAAAATAAAGAAGAAGTTCCTGAAGAAAGCAAAGAGGAATCCAAAGAAATACATGTCGAAGAAGAAAAGAAGAAATCCAGTTCTTCATCAGATGATGAAAAAGATAAAGATAAGAAGAAATCAAGTTCTTCTTCTGATGAAGAGAAGGACAAAAAGGAAGAAAATGCAGAAAACACTACAGAGGAAAAGGAAATTCATATAGAAGAAGAGAAAAAGAAAGCAAGTTCTTCTTCTGATGAAGAAAAAGAAAAAGAGAAGAAAGAGGAAGTCTTAGAAGAAAATTCTGAAGAAAAGGAGCTTAAGGAGGCTAATGTCGAGGAAGAAAAGAAGAAATCAAGTTCATCTTCAGATGAAGAAAAAGAAAAGGAAAATAAAGAAGAAGTTCCTGAAGAAAGCAAAGAGGAATCCAAAGAAATACATGTCGAAGAAGAAAAGAAGAAATCCAGTTCTTCATCAGATGATGAAAAAGAAAAAGAGGAGAAAGAAGAAAAGAAGAAGTCAAGCTCATCCTCAGATGATGAAAAAGAGAAGAAAGAAGAAAATCCTGAAGAAAAGATTGATGAAGAGGAAAAGAAGAAATCAAGTTCTTCATCAGATGATGAAAAGGAGCCAAAAGAAACTGAAGATGTTCAAGCTGAAGGTAAAGAGAGAGAATTCATCCCCGAAAATATGACTCAAGAAGAATTTGATGCAAAAGAGATTGAAGAAAAAGAAAGACAATTTAATCTTGAACATCAAGATACAATTGGCGAATTAACTCCATCCGAAACTAATGCAGGATTAGTGGAATTTGGAGGAACTCGTCATTTCATACCCAACTCCGTCAAAACTTCATCAACTGTTTCAACTGTCGCAACTAGTCTAAATTCAGATGGAGAAGATGAAGATATTGAGCCCCCTGATCAACCACCTTTCAACTGTATCAATGCTTACGATGGAACTATTGGTCCAAGATACTTAGTCGATGAGAATGGCGAACAATTATCTCCACCTGTCATTTTCTTCCCTGAAGTCATTGAACCAACAACTCCAATGATCACAACTCTCATTGGATCGAAGCCATCAACGCCAAGATCAAATACAAGAACATATTCACCAGTATACCAAGCTCAAAATCCACATAACAGATCTCTTGAAGCTACAAAAGAATCAATAGCTTTACTTGAATTATTCCTTCATCCAAAGAAGACAAAATCGAAGAAGAAGAAATTATTTACAGATCTTGAAAATTGGAAGACTGCTGTAGATGCAACAGGAATGACTCCTCTCCATCATATTGCTGCAAATCCAGCAATGACAGAGAAAGCTTTGGAATTAATTGCTGCTGGAGCTGATGTCAACCAAGTTGATAAGAAGAGAAATACTCCATTGCATACAGCTGCTTTGGCCAAAAACGCTCAAATGATCAATATTTTATTGAGAGGAGGAGCAAATCCAAATATCGCGAACTACGATGGTTATACTCCTCTTCACATTGCAATTATGAAGGGTGATTGTTCTACTGTTGCAGCATTAATACATCCTAAAGAAAACTGTAGTGTTCTTACAAGAGATGGAAGATCTCCATTTTATCTTGCTGTTGAATTTTGGAACGAGAAAATCATAAAGATGCTAATTGATGTCGATCCAAAGATTGATACTTCATATCCTGATAGAGATCAGAGAACTCCTTTAGATATAATCAAACCAGAAGAAAATGCAAGATATAATTTCTTATCGAAGCTGTTAAAGTTAGATAGACCATCTTCGTCAAAAGGTGGCCGCCGCTGTTAAATTTAAATATTTGTTATCTTTTTGTTGGCATAAAATATTTGTTAAATTCTCTATCCTAGTTTACATTTTTGAAAGGCTAGCTATCTAAGAACAACGAAAATAATTACAAAACTTGATAAAAGTTTAAGGAGCATGGAGCCATGATAACTAGTCATTATAGGGTTTTAATAAGAAACTACATATAGCATAATGTATGTATACAATCGCAAGTCTTATAATGTGTTTAATCATATTCATCAAAAATATATTTGCAATTGGAACAAAGATAACTCTAAGTAATTTCGTCATTTATAATAATATAGTGATGTAATCTTTAGTAAAATACAAATTTTTTAACATTCCGAAATTTTTGCATTTAATTTCTGATTGAATGAGGAAAAAATATCCGATGGATTGAGCTTAATTAATTATATTACTGTAATATTTTATTTTTTGGATGTTATGGCTGAAAGGTTGTAATAAAAAGCAGGTAGCCTTGAAATTTAAAAGCTGACGCATTTAAGCGTGGTACCACCTTGATTTCCTGCGGCCACGAGCCATTTCGAACTTACGGCCGTGGGAAGCGACCTTTGGACGTGTCTTAGAGTTGTCATCACCTGGAGCAGCGCCAAAGTGCTTGTTAACGAGGCGGCGTGTGCGGTCACCTTCGAGAAGGAGGCACTTGTCGCCTGTTGGGCGGAGCTGAGCGAGTTGGTCGAATGTGATGCATTCGCCACCAGCAGCAAGGATACGAGCGCGAGCTGTTTCTGTGAACTTAAGAGCGCAAACCTTCATCTTTGGAACTTCAAGGAGGCGTTCATCGTTGGTGATCTTAGCAACAAGAACGGCGATTGTCTCTGGTTCCTTGCCGTTAAGAGCTGTAGCAAGGCGGGAAAGGGAGTATGGGCGCCTGTTTGTGCGGGAAATGCAAAGGCGATGAGCAATCTTAGCATTGAAGTCATTGCCTGTGCGGCGAGCAAGGAATGCGTAAAGATTGTGGAGCATCTTCATTTGGGCATCAGCTGTCTTTGGCTCTTGCCTCTGTTTACGGGGAACTCTGTGATCAAGATCAACACCCATTGTAAAAGGGAGACCAAACCGCTTTTTCAATACAATTATTGGTCAGCCAGGATTTTACTCAAAAATGGAATCATTGCATATTTGATTGTATGTTCGTCATATACATTCTCTGTAAATTATGATTCTTGTGTTATTTTGCTCGGATTATGAATTTTAGAATATGAAAATTTCAAAATTCAATGTTTGGGTATTTAAAGATTTGTTTATGTCATATAGAGAAGTTTGTAGATCTATACGAATGTTGTTCGTTAAACATCTGAATGATATCTAATCTAAATCAGCATATAATATAACAATTTTATGAAAATCATAACTTAAAAACGATGTGTTAACTAATGGTAACATATTGCAGCAGGATGATGATTGATGAATTTCCTAACGATATGCGTTATTTGGCCGAATTGATTACAGAGTTATCGACTTTCAAACGGAAAAATGAGTTTAGCACAAATTATCACATCAAAGCAGCTTCAAACTCTTCATGAAGCATTTGACACATTCGATAAAGATGGTGACGGATATATTGAACCAGATTTAATCGAAAGAGCTCTTCGCGCTTGTGGATATAATCCAAGTATTTCTGAAATGACAGATATTTACGAGGATATTCACAGAAAACCAATATCGTTCAACGCATTCTTGTATATTTCATATCGTCATTCAAGAAATAGTCATGTCGAGCAAGAATTAATTGACGCATTTCATGTTTTCGATGAAAAAGAAACAGGTTACATTCCTACAAAAGATATTAAGAAGGTTTTAACATCAATAAAGAGACCTTTCACTGATGAACAGATTAATGAGTTAGTAACACAAACAAAACCATGGAATGATCTTGTTGACTACAAGAAATTTGTTCACATTCTTTTGAATCAGTAACAAATTTTGTTTTATGTTTATATACTTCTTATATTTTGTAATTCTTTAAAATGTATTTGTTTTAGGATCTAATCTACAAGAATTTATTTATATCTTCACTAGCATTTCAATCATTATATGATGAAATGGAAATTTTAATTTTTCACTGAGCTAGTAACACTTATATGATGTTGTTTGATCATGATATGAAAATATTTAAATTTAATGAGAAATGAAATGACTTTTGTAAAGAAATCAAAATTCCATAATAATATTTCAGTGAATGAAGCGATAATTTATTAATAGATAAAATTTTTATCTTATATAATACAATATCATCATTATCTATTGCCATAAATGATTAATGTTTTTCTGATTTGCATGTTCAACTTGGAAGAAAAGATTCAAGGTAGCAAACTCCTTAAAGAATTAAAAGGAGAAAAGGATCTTCCTTGGGTTGCTGGAGAAAATGAACGCTTTAAAGGTATGACTTTTAAAGATGCTAGTGTTATATCTGGTAATGCTCACAAACTAAGGCCAGATACCATTCCTCTTGCCAGGCCGCCAAAAATTAACATATCTATCCCAATGTCATATAATTTCACAGAAAGATTTCCACAATGCGATTTCGGAGTTCTTGATCAAGGCAAGTGTGGCTCATGTTGGTCATTTGCAGTGTCTAAGTCTTTCTCTCACAGATACTGTAGAAAATATAATAAGCCAGTTCTTTTTTCCCAAAGCCATTTAGTTGCTTGTGACAGAAGAAACTCAGGATGTGGCGGTGGAATAGAAGTCAACGCATGGAGATATATTGATCTTAGAGGTCTCCCACTTGATTCTTGCCAGCCATATGATGGAAATATAACGAAATATAATTGCTCAAAGAAATGCACAAATGAGAGTGAAACTTACGAAGCGCAATTCACTGAATATTGGTCTGTTGCTAGATACGCTTCAATAGAAGAGATGCAGATTGGAATAATGACAGAAGGTCCTGTAACAACTTCTTTGAAAGTTTATAGCGATCTGATGTATTATAAAAGTGGCATATATACCCATACAAAAGGAGAATTCCTCGGTCACCACGCAGTAGAAATAATTGGCTGGGGAACGAAAAATGGAATAGATTATTGGATTATTTCTAACTCATGGAATACTACATGGGGAATGAATGGTCTCTTCTTGATAAAGCGCGGTGTTAATGAATGTCATATTGAAGACTATGTTTGCGCAGGAAAAGTCAAATAATTATTTATTTTTTGTTATTTTATGTTATAAAATAGAGATATGCAAGATTTATTTCTCCAAAATTTTTGCGTTTATACTATATTGAAGTAATAAATTCAATCAATAACAAATCAAGATAATGCAGATGAATTAAAGATAAACTATGGGAAATAAGATGATATATGTTTTGAAACTTAACGTATCTGATACTTAAGTAGCAGTTGGCTGCTGTCGCTCATAAAATCATTCAAATCGTAATTGAAATTTCAAAAATCTCATAATATTTAATGAATTAAATCAGTATATTCTACTTCATTTTGTGTATGTTTGCGGAATGTCAACCCCATTAAGAAAAGAAACTTTCATATCAGAATTGACTAATATTAGGGGAAAAAAAATTAATTGTTGTTTGTAAAGTGTCAAATTTTTATATGCATCATAGAGATTTACAGAAAACAGCACCGCATCGAATATATATTCAAGCTTTGAACGAAAATGGGTCCAGTAAAGATTGGAAAAAATCTTTTCTGGAAGATCCAAACAATAAATGGCTTTGCGACGTTCCAGATGAATACATCAATGAAATTACGAATACATACGGACTTGCCGACGAAATAGATAACTTCAACGAGTGCAAAGATATAATTACACATAAAATTAAAAGCGAAAATATCGATCCTGAAAAATATTCTGAAGTAGAGCGAAATTTACCAATTGCATATGGAATGATACACGCAAGATACATAATGTCCCCGGATGGAATAGATAATATGACAGAAAAATACAAACAAAAAATTTTCGGAACTTGCCCTAGATACTCATGCAATAACGAACCATTACTGCCTATTGGAATAAGTAGTCAAACGAAGGTTTCTACTGTGAAAGTATTTTGTCCTTGCTGCAGAAGGATTTATGAACCTCGTCCTCCTGTCAGTTTGGACGGAGCTTTCTTCGGTCCGAATGTGGCCCATATGCTGATTGATCATTTAGATATTTTGGATCATTATCTCCTTTATAAACCGTATGTAAGAACTGCTTGCGGTTTCAAAGTCTACGACCCTCGATTTGATACAAAGAATTGATATTATTACAAAATCTATGCGAATCTTTGACGGATTACCCATGGATTTATATTTTTGAATATAATTAATTCATAACTCTAGGAAAGTAGCCAAATGAAAAGTGTATTTGTATGTTTTATGTTTTAATTTGTTTCACTGCGCAGTAAAGCTATAAATGTTTGATTTTTGTTTGAAATTTAAATTATTTTTACTTAAAGGTTAGTATTCACTAAATTCGTTTCATTTTATGAAGTCATTCTCTGCAACACTAATGGAATCCGATGTCTATTGAGGGCTATTCATAGACAAATCAAAATAATTTTAATTGTTTCATGATATTAGTTATGAACATCCTTTGTTTTAAAAATGTGATATGTTTGTGTTTAGGGTTTCATTAATGGTTAGGCTTAATCGAATAAAAAAAATAATATCTTATATAAGAGTTGAACGCAACACCTAATTATGAAACAATAATATTTGTATCAGGACTAATCAAATGGCTGATTTCTTCTTATCATTTAAAAAGAAAATAGAAGTTTTACTAAAAAAAAATAAACAAGAAAAAATAAAAAATAATAATAAAAAATTAATTCTTAATAATTCCATCCATGTCATCTGTGACATGAGAAATGACTTCCTTAGATAGCTTTGCAACTTCACTTCTCTCATCATCGATGAGATTGAAGAGCCAACTTAATATATTCACCAGATGCCAAGTTGTACTATCATTCTTGAATCCCAATTTCATCTTTGGAACATTTGCTTTCTCAATGAAAGATAAGAAATCAATCAATCTTTGGTCATCTTTCATGTCATTGCTGACCAAATTAAACAAGTTATCAAACAAACTCGTGAAGCACAAATCGAACATATTCCTGTCGTATTTAGTTCCTTTAGGATCGAAGTAAATCGACCATAATTTCATCAATACTTTATCGTCTTTTGACATTCTGACAAAATTCACTTTTTTGCTGTTAGAAACTGAGCTAAACAAATCGACGATTTTCTGGTGAACTGTTTCTTTGTCACAATACATGAAGTGGCTAATAATATTAAACAAATTATCAGCTTCACTCTGAGTATAATTGTTTTTCGCAGAGATTTTTTCAAAAATAATTTTCGTGATTTCGAAACTTTGTTCGAATTCAAATACAGGAATAACAACTTGTGATAAAGTAATGATTAACTCACAATTCGTTTTCTCTATGATCTCTTTCAATATGTCAAAACCGTTTTCTCTAATTTTGTCACTTTTTGCATTAACAATTATTTCTTTAACAAAAAGTGACACTGTCAAAACGGTTTCTGGATTAACTGCATCCAAAATTAATTTGAAAAGAGAAGAAGGAATAGAAAAGTCAGTAAAATCATTTGGAATGCTCTGACAAATGAAAGAAATCGTTGATAACCAAATTTCGGTTTGTGTCACTTTTGCTGATGAATAAATCTGACAAAATTGATCACAAATTGTTTTCATCAAGTTAATATCATTCATTTCTTCATCAGCAACAGTTTTGACGAATTCATTGAATGTTTTTTGGAGGTTTTTGTAGACTTCTTCGTCAAATTTTTGGAAATTAAAAGATTCCTTGTAAAAATCAATTGATTTCTCTCTGATGTCACCTTTTTGACACTTTTTCATGAATTCCAAATGTTTTTCGAATAGTAAAAACCAAAATTCGTCATTAAATGATTTGATATTAGTAAATCTGTCATAAAACTGAATGACGCACTTCAAAATATTCCAAAATAATTTCTGATAAACTTCTGCATTTGAAAATTCAGAAGAAGATGATAAAAGTGGAATAAAACAACCGTTCATGAATGTTTCGAATGTTGCATCATTGATTTCATTAGCGTTTGAACTGAATAAACTGAAACAGCTCTCAACAGCTATATCAGCAACTTCTTTTCTGTCATCAGCCAAAGAATAAAAACATTGACTTACAAGTGAACTGACCAAAGATTCATTCTTTTTGACTCTTGGAGCCAAAATCCACAAAAGCTCGAAAGATTTAAGAGATACATTTTGGTCAATTCTCTGTCCTACGAACAAGAAAAGAGATTCAATGATTTGCGGAAGCAATCTGTCAGGTACGGAATTAAGAAGTGATTTGATGACGAAAGAAAGTCCTTCGAAACAGGAATTAATTGAATTTTTGTCGTGACAATATTTCGGCAAAAACAATTTTATCAAAAATTCTTCTTCTTCAACACTCGGCATCGGTGGAGCCAAAATCTTTCGATTGATCAGTTTAAATAATTCCGAAATTTCAGAACAATCATTAAAATTATCGGATATCAAAACCGAAATAACCGTTTTGATTGTAAACAATCTATTTTTGTTGTCACAAGATTCCAATGTTTTCAAAATCATGTTTATAACAACAGATTTGATATTGTCAGTCTTGTGAGTTGTAGATTGTTGATTTTCTGTTTCTGGATAAACAGATGAACTAGCCGCGTCACTTTTTCTTCTTTGATATCTCATAGTTGGAGCAGTTTTTGTTGATTCACTTCTTTTCCTTTGTAAAAAGTTTTCTCTATCGTTTTGAATACTGTCACTTTTTCTTCTTTCTTTTCTTACTTTTATTTCTTCAAACTGTTTTGTATTTTCCAATGGCGGCGGTTTTGGTATTTTCTTACCTTTCTGTTTAGAAAATGCTTCGTTTTTACCTTGTTTTGGAGATATGGATCTTGGCGGCATTTCTGACATAACAATTGTTGTTTTTGAGTCAGAATATTTAACAGATTTTTGGTTTGGAATGTCGAAAATTTCATTCGACCAGACTTGTTCAATTCTATCGTTGTTTTGTATCAAAATATTTTGTAAAAGATCGATGAAAAACATGTCATTTTTTCCCAAAACAGAAATAATTTTTCTGAGTTCTTTTGTTTCGATTTTCTTCGTTGTTTCTATTTCCATTTCCTTGTTTCTAGGGAATGATGACAAAGCGAAGAACAACCTTGTATAACATCTCTCGAAAATGCTGATTTTATTGTTAAAAAGTGCAATCAACATTTTGAATCCCAAAATTCTTTTTTGTTTGAAAAAGAATCCTTTCTTTTGTGTATGTAATAAATCACATGATAAACATTCAGCAGGCATTGCATTCTCTCTTAATACTCTCTGTTTAGCCACGAAATTCGTAATGATTCTTATTAATTCGAGCCTTTCTTCTTCATTCTTGTTTTCGTGCAAAACATTTAAAAATTTCGCAATTCCTTCGAAACAAAACAAAGCAAAATCAAGATTGGAGTATCTCAAACAATAAACAATGAATAACATGAGTTCTTTGCGATTATAACTAATGAAATATGGGTTCCCAAATAAAATAAAAGAAAGAGCAATTTCTATTGATGAAATTAATTCGAAATTTTGTTGTTTCATTTCTTTTGTTTGATTTAATGAGAAATTCAGTATTGTAGGAGATATCTGTGATGATGGAATGATCAGTAACTTGTTAAGAAGTCTGTTTGTCATCGAAATATTGTTGTCAATCGATTTTGTAAAATCTGATGAATAATTCTTCGAAGATAAGAAGACAGATCTGAAGAAATAGAGATAATTCTTGTCTGTATCAACTGTGGATTCGAAATAGTTGAACATTTCAATGGTTTTTTCTGGATTTTCTTTATAATATTTTGACATAAAAGAAACGTAAAGAGGAAGCTTTGAAAATGATTTGATTGGTATTGGAACTGACCTTTCGACTAATTCGAGAAGTGGTTTTTCAGAAATAATGAAATTATAATGGGATGAAATAATAATATTCCATAATGAGACTAAAACGCCTTCAGAGAGACCTTTAACGCGTATCCATTTCGATTCTTGGCCTTCTAAGAGATTACAAATATCATTTAACAATAAAAATGAAATTTTAAGCATTGGATGAGTAAATTCTGCTGGAACGAGTGTATTTAATGTTTTCAATACATCGTTGGGTATTTTATTGTCTTTATTATAGTATAAATCGAAAATTATTGATACCATTTGTTGAGATGTTGCAAATGCAGTTGTTGAAACTATTGGAATGGTATGTAATATCATTGATAATGAAATTGAAAATAATGCTGCTACACAATCTGGATCAAATGCAAGAGTTGGGAGGATTGTTGCAGAAAACTGGATTATTTTCAATCCATTATTTTGTGATGAGCGAAGGCATGCTGTTTCTAAGGCAATTAGCGCATTCGACTTGCATTTTCCAGTGAAAAAATCATTTGATATTAAATTGCACAAAAGAGTAATATAAGATTCTTGTGTTTTCAGAAAATTTGCATCTGATGACATCGTATTTAGGATCTTGAAAAGAGGAGAATCGTGTTGATGAATTGGTAATCGAATTTGATTTTGATTTAATTGGTTTATAAACGATGTAATAAGTCTTTTGATCTCACCTTTAACATTGTAGCTACTATATCTATGAATTTCATCAATCAATTTTGATTTGAGTTCATTCATTAGTTACTACAATAAAGTAAAATAACTAATTTATAAACTAGTTTGGTAATGATTTTATATATTAATCAATGGTTGAATATCATATAGAAAAATTGTAAAAATTGGATGAAATTATTCGCAAACATCAATGTTTCATTTTAGGCTTGCATTTCTCAATAAGATGTGAGATATAAACTTATTCTTTGTTGATTGTTCTCTATGAAGAAATTCAATAATTTGAAAAAATGATATAGATTTTTCGCAAAGAAGTAGAAGGTAATAGATATGAGAAATCCAAATTTGTGATTCTTGCTAGTTTGCTCATAAAAAAATAAAAAATTGATAAATATTCATTTTAATTTTATTTAGACAAATAAGTTATGTAAAACGGTCTCTATAGTGGTATTATATTGTTCTATCTAGTATAGAATATTACAAAAAGTTTGTATGATATAATTTTTGGTATTTCATTTGTAAACTAATGCGAAAACTTTGTTGTTGAGAGCTCTCACAACTCCCCAAAAGAAGATAAAACCAACTTTGACTTTGTCTTCCTCAATTGGATGTGGGAATTTGACTGCTCTTTGGATTGGTGTCCAGAAGTTAGCTGGAGCAGTGCAAATCCAACAATTTCTAAAAATAAGAGCAGGAACAAGAAATCTGAGAAATGACCAAATCCGACTTGGTTTTGAAACTTGTTTTGTTTTCTGAAGATGAGTTAACTGTCTATTTAATTTGGCGTACTTTGGGAAATCATCCTTCATATCAACTTTTTTGAGCTCTTCTTTCAATTTGATAATTTCGCGAGTTTTATATCGCTTGTAAAGCCTAAATATTGTTTTGGCAAAGACCATTACAAACCAATCAGTCATAAAAGCTGCCAAAAAAAGTCCAGGACCTGACAGCTGAAGATGGTAAAGTGCATTGAGATATTCCATAAAATTAAAAATTATACCTTTTGATAGGAAACTGGGTAGAAGCTTCCTAAACTGTTTAGTCCCATAAATATGGTCATTGTCTGGAATAAAAAGTTATGTGTCACTTTTTGTACTAAGGAAACATCGAATTTATGCGTTATGACTTTTCGATGAGGAAACTACTGTTCACGTAATATACTTCCTTATTTCAATAAACCGACCCTAAGTATACTTAATACTAAGCATGATAATGGTCTCTTTTCTATGATAACCAAATCAATTTGGTTATCATAGTAGAGTCCATAAAACCGGAATAAGAACATTTACATTACGTGACAACTTGAAATTTATTATTTTTACGGGTTAATTAATTTTGACCATTTTCGGTTACAAATTTTAATTGTTTCGAAACTAATAGCATAATTAGATTTGGGCTATGTTATACTGTGGATTTATCCGTTTATATCTCCGCAAATTCAATGATCACATAATTCAAAAAATAAATCCCGATCAAATTGCGATTCCAAGCTGTTGATTAATTCATAAAATTATGGGATATCTTATGCAATTACAAAAACATAAATGTGAAAAGTGACATTAAGTCCTCACAAAAAATATTGAGAGGATTTTATCTTATTACCTCACATTCTCCAGATTTGTGAACCAGACTTTTGACTCATGCCTCATATAACTGTAATTATACCGATAAATTTCCTCTCAATTTAAAAAAATTGAGACTCCTATCACTACAATAAAATTAAGGGTGCACCCGCATGTACGTTTTACCCTCTCAATTTTGAAAGCTTCGTTAACTTAATATCTCGATGAATATTGGATTAAAATTGAATTTGCCCATACCAATATATCTGATACAATATCCTTAAGTTTTACTAAAAAGAATTTTTTAAAATCCCTGCAGATTCGGGGATTTTTAAATTTTTTGATTTTTTTCGAAAATTTTTCGGAAAAAAAATATTTTCAGAAGAGCCTTAACGGCTAAGTTTTATGTTTAATGTTGAGTATCAAAAAGAATGGGCATCTGATATAGCCATCATATATCCCAGAAGCAAATAAAAATTCTGACTTTTTAAGCATAAAAAATGAAATTTTATTTTTTGCAAAAAACAGGCCACCCGGATGTACGTTTATTTGAGAGGAGGAGGATTAAATTTTTGAAAGCACTAAAATTTGTAAATATGCTAGTTATATAATAATATGCATTATTTTAAAAAATAAAAATTAAAGCACGTTAAAATCTTTTTTGATGAATTTTTACAAAAGCTACTCAGGATAATGCAAGATATGAGTAGTTAAACATAAATTTCAAATCAGATTTTACTTATAATAAATATTTTAAATTTCTGAAAATTAAGTTCAGATCGACTCTATATGTAGTAAATACTAAATAAGGTGCCAAAAACCTATTAAACAGTATCAAAACTATCAAGATTGTAATGTTTTTGAAGAAAAATTTATAGAATTATGGACTTCAAACAGATATTATGTAAATAAAAATAATATAATGAATTTATTTATTCGTATAATAGCAGTAATAAGTCGATTATTCACTTCTACTTCTGAGATTTGAATTTAATTTCGACAGAAAAAGAGATTCAAGAGGAAAATACTAGGGGATACAAACAGCCACCATGACAGGATTATTATGGAGCCAAGTTGTATTTTTTGATATTTTTAGAGTTTTCCTACCTATTTAGGTACCAAGTTATTGCTTAAAAATTAAGGTTCTAAATTCTGAAGTTTACATGATCCTCCCGGGCGCACCCTTAATCACCCATTTTCCTCTCAATTCATAATCATCAAGTATTTGAAACATTATATTTTAACCAGGTAACAAACTTAAACATGCATAAAATTTCCAATGATCCAATTAAAAACTTCGAAATGCAGGACTGCTTGTTAAGTGATCGTTTTTAAACCTTAAACTGTGATTGATATCATTCTCAAATACAACCAAATCAAAATTAAAAAATTTGAACGAGAATTCAAAATTTCAGATCCATTATTAAAAAGTGAATCTTGAAAAAGATTAACAAAATTTGTTGAACTAAAAGCTTTTATACGTTAGTATGAAATGTGGCACTACTTTAATTTTGGGGAATATTCTTTTTTAAATAGCAATATCGTTGATTCAGACACTTCCAAATTTAATCAAACTTCAGTCACCTTTTATTATCCATGCTCTGATAAGCAAAACTGTTCAGGATTTGAGATCAAACTCAATCCTGGGCATTATTTATTTGAAGTTTTTGGAGCTCAGGGTTCTCAAGAGGCCGAATCTCAAAAAGGAGGATTAGGTGGCTACGGGCGTGCGGAAGTCACTATTCCAAAAACATTTCCTTTGTATCTGGTTGTAGGTTCCCAAGGTAAGTGGACCGATAGTGATGCTAGTGAAGCTTCATTCAATGGTGGAGGACAGGGATACAAATCAGGCCCAGGAGGTGGTGCTACTGACTTTAGAATTTCAGAAAATGACCTCCGCACCCGATTTCTGATTGCTGGTGGTGGTGGGGCCCAAGGAATAGATTCCGGTTCAGGACATGAAGCAGAAATATCTCCACAACCTGTTGATCCTGATGGAGGCTTTGATGAAGGTGACGGTTTCTTGAAAAGGCTTCATGAAACAAGGCAATCCGGTGCAATTAATGAACGTTTATCCGGTGACTCTAATCAAGGTGGATCTGGCGGTGGAACAATTGGAGGTGACGGAAGTGATTCAGAAGTGACTGGAGGAACACAAAATTCAGGAGGTATTGGATATATATCTGGTTCATTTGGGAGTGGATGCATATTTCATGATGCAGGGGCCCACGGAGGATCAGGAGGCGGACTCTTTGGAGGAAGCTGCGGAAAAGATTCGGGAGTTTCTGGTTCTGGTGGATCTGGCTTTTTTTATTCCGAGAATAAAACTGAACTAATCGATACGATTAAGACCATAAAGATTTCTAATGGTTCCCTTTTAAGTGGTCAAAACTTTGGTGATGGATATGCAATCATCACTTTGCTATCATCTTTTTCAAAAAATTACCGAAAAAGAATTAACAAGTCATATGTTGCTGTTATTATGTATATTTTAAAGTATAAATAAACTATTTATTTTAAAATTTTTATCTAACTTTTGAGATATAAAAGGATTTGCTTGACATTAAGGCTCTGTTTGAAATGAAATGGGGTGCTGTTAATCAATATGTAGGGTACATAAATTTGGATTGAAATGAATTCTTTGGTTCTGATTTTATTTGAAACAGATCAAGAAAAATACATTTATACCATACTGTTTTATTTATTTGTTAAACAAAGACGGAACCTTGCTACTTGGGTTTTTAATCAAAGATTTTAAGAAGTCAAGAAAACTAGAATTAGTATCTGTTAAAATTGAGATTGGTCCACATTCTGCCGTCTCATAAAAAGTCAATTCGCTTTCATATGAATACGATTCTATATCTCGATAATATCGAATATGATCTGTGATATTGAAATCGTATATGCATGAGATCACTTTGTAATCTCCTCCTCGAGATGTCCAAAAAATATTATTTGCATTATTTTTGATAATGTTGCAATTAATGAACTTAAAATCTCCTCTATAAATTATAATTAATTGATCTGATGCAGTATTACCAATGATATTGCAATTTATTATTGGATTATTTGTTGAATGAGCTAATTTGAGGCAATAAATATGGGATGAATTATTAGATGAAAACAAAGAATACGTTAAATTTCCATTAAAATCACTATCTGCTAACCAAAATCCTGATACTGAGTACGTAAAACAATATGAAATATTGACTTTTTCTATGATAACTTCACCATAACTATGGGAAACTGGGGATTCTCCATTCGAAGTAACTAAATTTGTAAAGGATGATTCAATATTATAGTTTTTATTTTTCTGACTAAATGCATTCCGTATATAGCAATGTTGTCCTCTCCTTGAAGCTGAACATTTATATGCGCAAACTCTTTTTTGGACAATATCTCCATTTGAATCAATAAAAATATTACATCCATCTCCATTATATGAATTATTATAAAAAAGAGAGGACTCAATAAGAATCTTGGTGGAAGTGACTTCGGAACCATATGATAGAAATTGTTCACTACTATTTGCTGATATAATATCGATAATATAATAGCTATTGCCATTTAAAATGACGCCGTTATAGTAGCTGTTATTTGTTTCATCAAAAAAAATTGTTCCATTCTAATTGTATCTGTCTTACCATCTGATATTTAGGAAATCTCATTAATATGAAAAAAAAAAAAAAAAAAAAAAAAGGTAGTGGGGCTTCCAGGCACTTCGTGCCCTCTAGCCCCCCGTCACTTTTCTGTCACTTTTCAGGAAAAAACATTTTTATTATATATATAAAATGAATTTTACAAAACCACCGTTACCCTTCTTTGGAAATAAGAGTAGATGTAAAGATATTCTATTGAGAGAACTTAAGAAACTACCGAATGGTCTAACATTTGTAGACTTGTTCGGTGGAAGTTTCTATATATCTCATTTGTGCCATACAATATTTCCTGACTCAAAGATTATATGCAATGACTTCGACAACTATATGAACCGTCTCAAACATATACCAGACACAAACAAAATATTGAAAGAGTTAAAAGAAAAGATACCTATAGGTAAGATGGAACGTATACCATTAGATAAGAAAAATACTGTCAGAGAGGTTTTGAAAAAGGCAGAGTATATTGACTGGGATAGTATATCTGCTAGACTATTATATAGTGGTGCTATAAGAGTTCATGACATTGAAACACTTATGTCAAAAGTTTTATATCTTAACTATACAAATGTTTTCAAAGAGAACATAGAAAAATATATTGAGGGTATAGAGTTTGTGAGATGTCATTGGACAGAGTTGTATGAAAAATATAAAGACAAGGAAAATGTTTTCTTTATAGTGGACCCGCCGTTCTATAACACATGGGATTTTCAATACCAAGTAGACTGGACTTTGAGAGACTCTTTAGAAACTTTAGACGTTTTACATAACCATCCATGCTTTTACTTTACATCCGATAAAAGTGGTTTGGAAAGTGTCATGAGATGGTTAGAGGACATACATGACTATGAGTTTAGATACGATAAGATAGAATATGAGAGAGGTCCTATAAACTGGAGAAAGTGTCATAACAAAGAAATTTTACTAGTAAGTAAATGTGGTTTGAAATAGGACTACTTGTTTTAGGTTTTTTCCATTGTGTCATTTACTTATTTGACGTGGCAGAAAAGTACAGAGAATATGAAGATGAACCAATGCCTGCAAATGTTCAGTATATGTACTCGTAAGAGATATTTTTATCTAATATTAAATGGACGCACAGAACTTAGCGAATGCACAGCAACCTGGACAACCAAACCCAGAGAATATTCCAAATGAAGTTAGAATACAAACTGCAATGGCAAACTATGGTCAAGTGCCAACAGATGTACAAATGCAAACTGCCATGTCAAATGACGCTGCGTTAGGCTTACCACCATGGTATGCAAATATGAGATGGAAAGAGTTTTATACAAACCCCGAAGTGGGATATAAACAACTCTATGCAGATGACGCGAACACAGGAGTTGACCCAGAGTATGTTTTCTACCAGAGGAGAAATAGAATGTATGAGCTCCAGTTAAAGAATGCTATGGAACTCAGAAGGAAACGTAAGAGACTAGGTGGACATTAGATTTTTACATATAGTAAAATGGGTTTCTTTGGAAGAATAGGAAACTTCTTTCGAAATGTTGGAAGAGGTATATGGAATGGAATAAAAACCGTCGGAAGAGGAATTTGGAACGGAGTCAAAAATATTGGCAAAAGAGTAGGTCAGTTCGTTGGTATTATACCTAAAGACCCTGAACCAGAAGAGCAAGCTCCTGTTATACAACAGCCTGAACCTGCACCACAGTCTAGTTGGCAACCAAATCCAACACCTCAACCGTATTAAAAAATCATATTTTTACCGTTCGATAGTAGTTGTATATGAAACTAAGTTCTAAGTAAAACGCGTGGTATAATGGAATTATTCTCTTTCTTCCATCTGTAGTAAACCATACTTGAAAGTCTGAAATACTTCCACTTGGTGGTTCGTATAGCTTTGTAGGTTTTTCGTAAAAGTCATTTGCCAAGCATAAAAAAGAGTTTTGTGCGCCAGAAAATGAAGCATGAACTATAATAGCATCTGAGTCGAAAACATTTTCATATGTTCCATTAGGGTTTTCGACTTCATAAAAGTTCGGGTGTACTGGATATTCTGCAGGCTGATTTAACATCCTCAAAAATCTATACCATGCCAAGTTGTTATATTTTGTAGAAATATAAACGTCTTCTCCAAGGTCTTCTATTCTATTGATTTTAACAGTTGCATTTTTCCTGTCATATATAATATCGAGATGGTACTCTCCTTCGTCAATGTTGTACTGTTTTGCATATTCGAGATAGATATCGTTTATTTTTTCTTGAAAAGCTTGAAGAGTTGTTTCTAAGTTTACAAGCAAATTCACTTGTAAAAGTTTTCCCTGTTCAAATTTCTCATACGTATGTTTTTCTTTGTTATAGTATCGAATTTCAAAAGCGACCGTAAATGGGAAACCATGTATGGCTTCTGAAATGAACTTCATTCTACGAAAGCCAACAGCTTTTGTGACGGATGGGTCTCTTAACCATCTTAGTGGGTAGTCAAAACGATAGCCTTCATGCTTTACGGTCTCTGTCTCAAACTTTTGACCGACATTAGTAAAAAGTTCATCTAATGGTTTAGTTGTAGCAACTCTTGAATTTTCTTTTTCTATTGAAAGCATATTTTATCTAGAATAAAAATGTCGAAAGAAACAGCGTCTATGAGAGAAATACAACACAACCGACAACTCATTTTGCAAGCTCTAAATAAGAACACAACAAACTTTTCAAACTATTCTAAGATATCTGAGTCATTGAAAGAAGGAAACTTAAAACTGACATTAAACCCAATGACAGACGAGTTTCTGTTTCAAGACAGTAAGAACCATACTGTCTGTATAAATCCAACAAAAGGAACTTTAAACGAGAAACCTATAAAAGAACTTCTTTTGAAAGCAGATGTTGACAACAAAGCTGACAAAGAGTATGTTGACGATGAGTTAGCACGTGTGGCTAGTGCGTTAGTGAAGAAGGCAGATAAGGAATATGTGAATGAAAAAGATGAAAAAATTATAGAAAGGGTTGAATGGTACCATGAACGGACAACAAAGATTTTAAAAGGTAAAGCCGATACAGGGTGGGTTTCAGGATGTTTAGACCTTAAAGCGGATAAGAACCATACACATACCATTGCAAATATTACAAACTTACAAGAAACCTTAAACAGGAAAAGTGACGTTGGACATACACATACCATTGCAAATATTACAAACTTACAAGAAACCTTAAACAGGAAAAGTGACGTTGGACATACACATAGCTTCTTCGCAACTGTTGGTATAGAAAATATTGAAGGAACGGTTGAAGAAACTGGTGGGATGCAATATATTGTAAACCTCCTAACTTTCCACAAGGTTTAACATCGGATGACGACATAACAACGATGAGAAACATTAGATGTAGAGATGTTTATGTCATGGAGGATGAACATAATATTAAATTCACTGCTCAAGATTTATATGACAAGAAAGCAGACAAAACGGAGCTTCAAACATTAAAGACAGAAATACTTCAAACCATTTACCCAGTTGGTTCTATTTACACGTCAATGAACTCTACCAGACCAGAAGTAGTACTTGGTTTTGGAACTTGGACTCAAATACTCGAAAGTTTTTTGTATTGTGCACACACTCCAAAGAAAACAGGTGGAAGTAAAACGATATCTGTCGACAACTTGCCACCACATAGTCATTCTGGTACAACAAACTTTTCTGGCGACCATAGCCACTCATTAAGAGACCACCCATTATACAACTCAGAGTATGAAGCTGGCTATGACGTTTTATCTCCAGATTATAACATTCAGCAAAAAAGACTTTTCGACAAACTGAACCAGGAGGAAACCACCAACATACTTTTACAACAACATCTACAGACTAGGTAAAAAAATACATGCCACCTTACATGACAGTTTGTGCATGGTATAGAATTGCTTAGTCGTCATTTTCAACTTCTTTAGCATATTCGTCAGGAGTTGTCTTATATTTGTTAGGAACTGTCTTTGAAAGTATACCACCTTGAACCTTAACAAGTTTGAAACGAGGTCTGACAATAGTAGTTTTCTTCTGCTTGCAGTCTGTACATTTTGCCATGTTTGCCTAAAACTTCATAATATTCTCTTGTATACTTTCTTCTATTTTACGAACACGAACGTGAGTACCTGTCGAGTTTCCATTGTTGTCATAGTCAATAGTATTTTCATATGGGTCGCGTTTAGGTATTTCTATTTTTACTTTGTCACCTTTCTTAAGTTTGAAGCCTGGCATTCTTTCTTGTTTGTCTCTTTTGACTAAACTATTAAATATATAGTCTTTCTCTAAGTCAGGGTTGTTTTTCATTTCTTCGGGGGAGTGGTTTCCCAAACCTTTTTGTTTACGGCTATTGTAAATATTTAAAACTTGTCTCATCTTTGCCATGGAGAAGTGTCTGTACTTGTCGTCATATGACATTTCATTTGCTTCACCACCTTGTGGTTGGTTTAAGTCTCTTAAGATTTTTATACAACTGTCAATGACACCAAGAGCAGAATGGTTTTGGTCGACAATGAAATATTGGTTTACATTTTTTGAACGCAGATAGTTTTTAATATCGTCTGATTTGAAAGAACGTTCACAGTCAGATGTCAGTTTTGTTGGATGGTATTTGTCAACGAATATTGTCAAAGCAGTTTTCACATCTAAAATATTTTTGGACTGTAATGGTATGGCTTCACAGTATCTTGTGTTTTGACCGACAAATATTAGCCAGTATGGTGGTCCATCTTCTCTATACCTCGGAATGTTTTCCAAGATATCCATAAACCAAGCATTTGGTGTTGAACTAAAGATTTTTATCATGAGTGCTTTCTTTGTCGCTTTAGAAACATAGGGGTCCTTGTTTGGATTCGTCATTTTTTACCCTATAAGAAATGGGTTTATTTGGCGCATTAGCAGGAGTTGCATCCAGATTTTTGCCCGCAGTGGGAACAATAGCCAGAGGTGCATTTGGAATTGGAAGGAAGATTTTGAGTACATTAGGTATACTGAAAGAGAAAGCACAACCTATTATACAAACTGTACAGAAAGGTTGGGAGGTAGCACGAGATGCAGCAAATCTTATTCCAAATCCTGAAACAAGAGGAAAAGTTCAAGGATGGATGGACAATGTAGGAAGACAAGCAGGAAACTACTATAACAAAGCAAATGACTACTATAACCAAGCAGGGCACTATATGGACCAAGGTGAAAGATTCTTTAACAGAGGATATAACCATGCACAACAATGGGTAAACAACAACCAACCGCAACCACCTCAAACGTGGGGAATGTAAATTTTTTTACTGAGATGAAATGAACAATATAGCTTTGAGACAAATGGGCTCAAGATGGATTTGTCGACTTCCAGCAGTTACACAACCACGTGTTTGTCAAGTTCTTCCTATACCTCAGGAAGTTTTAGACCGACTTAAAAAACCTAAACAACCAGTTGAAAACAAACCAAACTAAAATTTTTTACTGAGATGAAATGACCGAAGAAGTTGAAACGGTAGATTTGACACCACAAACAAAAAGTTCAGAACCATTGTCAAAACCTGTCAAAGAACTTACAGATGAAGAGAAAAATTCAATAATAGAAAGTGCCAGGTCTGGAAATACAAACCCTAACTATAAAGTCACTTTTCATAGAAATGGAACGGCTAGTATCTCAAAAAAGAAACAGACTCTCACAAATAAAATATTGAAGTCTGAAGGAGCTTTCGAGACAACAGATGGAAAAGTTTACTTCACTGACCAACAGTTCATTATAGAACATCTCATTGACTTAGAGTCGAAATATTCTAAACTTTACAACAAACACAAAAAGTTGAAAGGAAAACAAAAACAAATGGCATATGATATTTATGAAGATGTTGACGACACAACCATACCTGCAAGTGAAGTAAAGTCAGAGGAACCAAAAAGTGACGAAAAACCGATAGAAGAAGGTGAGCCAAAAACTGAAGATAAACCAAAACCAAAGGTTAGTTTCCAAACTAAACCAAGTCAACCTTCATTAGCTGGTATGGGTTGGCGTCAAAGACTTATGGCAGCAGGCGGTTATGTAAAGTAAAGAAAAAAAAACATTTTTTTATTTTTATAAAAATGCCCCCGTATAGAATGGATAGAAGGTCTGCTAGAATAAAAGCAGAGTTAGAAAGATATGGTTGGAAAGTTTCAAAGAAGTTTAAATATAGGAAGGGAAGACCCATAAAAGTCTATGACAAACTGGCTGGTCTTCGCTACGAAATGGATTTGGAAACAGCACGTGCAAATTATCCAAACAGACTAGAGAGGTTAGAAGAAGAACGTCTTATGGACATGCCTTTCGATGTTAGTGAACCTCAAGTTGAAGGACACGACGGCTTTGCCAGATTCTACTGGAAACATGACGAACAATTGCATCCTTTGAGAAGGAAAAAAGGGAAGGGTGAAGACAAACATGCTCCCATGGAAAGAACAAGATATGCATATGAGAAGTATCGTGAAGTTAGAAGTCAAATTACATCTGGTCGAACCTTTACAGTAAACTTTGACGAAGGAAAGAACAAAGAAGGCTTCATGGGTGTACTTGCTGCAATTCAAGACGGAAATAAGAAAGGATACAATCTCAGACTAACCGTAACAGATTTAGATGGTCATATTTACTATGCACATGGCAATGTCACAACAGCCGCACAACTTCTTGACGCTTTCAAGACTACAAAGAGAGAACAAATGGTTGACTCCGACTCAGACATCCTGAATGCAATTGAAGGAATTGTAAGTGTAAAGTTCGAATGGTATCAACCTAACCCTCAAGCAGTCAGACAACATGCTGGATACTTCCCGTTCATAAATAAGTCTGACATTGACTTGACAAGGTATGGAATTTACAATTCAATTGAAACAATTGTCAATGAACCTTGTATTCTTACATGTCTCAGGAACTCTGGTCTTGTTACAGAAGAGAAGATGAAGTATCTTGAGTCATGTGTGAAGACAAGGTACATTCTCAGAGGTCAATTGGCAAAAATTGCACCGTTGGCAAATGTGAATATCCGAGTCAACATTCCGACTGAGAAAGGTTCTTCACATGACGACTATGTTGTTGACAAAGACTTACCATGGTTGAAGATTGTAATTGTCCACAACCACTTCATGTTGAACGAAAGTCTTACAAACCCATTGTTCGGAAAAGGCAAATGCAACATTGTCAGAGCTGTTAACATTCTTTTCGAGAAAGGTTTGTTGGAACCAATTCCAGATGACAAGCTGACAGAAACTTTTGTACCAAAAGATGAAACAAACTTTTCATTGTTGGTAAGACCAAAAGTTGTTCCAGACAAAGTTATAGCACAAAAGAAGTACACTGTTCCAAAAGGAGTTGGATTGTTCGGATACCAACCTGAACCAGAAGAACTTCCAATGAGGTTGCAAGAACTTCAAGATGCTATAAACAAACTTCCATTGAGACATCCAATTGACGTCAAATTGTATTGGAGAGCATCGGAGTTAGGTCAGAAGGTTTTATATGAAACAGGTTGCTTCGACGATGTTTATGAGATAACAGGAGAAGTTTCTCAGAAGATAAGAGACTCACTTGAATTTCCACGAACTGGACCCATTGGTTGCGACAAGTTCGACTCAGATGAAAAGATATACTATGTCGACCTTAACGCTGCGTACATGAGGTTCGTCCAATATATCCCGACTGGAATTCCAAACGAAGATGGTGAGTTCCCAGGAAGGAACTATACAGTTGGAAAAGTCATACAACAACTGTATGATATTAGGAAAGCTTCAAACCCCAAACTTGCAATGACACTCAAATTGCTTATGAATTCGACATGGGGATATTCCATTAAGAAACCTCAAGAGATGAAGAGTAAACACTATGAGAAGGTCGACAACTTTGTTGAAAGGTTCTCCCTTTTGTTTTGAAGTACGAATTCACTCAAGGTCAAAGTGGCTTAGTAACCACATTAAAACCTATTGTCGAACATTGGTCTTACCCTCAGTTCGCAAAGGCAGTCCTTGACAACTACAACAAATTCTTCTCCGAAGTCAAATCCAAAGTGAAGGTTTACTATGAGAACATTGACGCACTCATGACGAACGAAGAAGGATACAAACTCATTGAAATGGGAATGGTCGGTGAAAAGATGGGTCAATTCAAATTGGACAAAATTTTCACCGAAGTTCATGTCCTCTCCAAGCGTAAGTACTGGGGCATACTTGAAGACGGCACAGAAATAAAACATTGCATGAAGTAAAAAATTTTTATTCGAATTTGAATCGGACAGGTCGAGTTACACCATTCTTGGTCTCAAACTCATATATAACCTGTTTGTCTGTATTTTCGTCGACTATGGCACGAGACACGAACATTGACCAAACGGACAAAAAGTGTCATTTCAGATGGTCCGCAGCCAATCGCATTCGAGCACTTCGAAGAAGCCTTACGTTCCAAGGGAGAGGGTGTCTGGTGCAAGGAGGTCATGAGACTCTACGAGCAGTACATCCTCAATGCCTGGGAGGACAAATCGTCCTTGGATTGGCAATTCTACCAACTCCTCTGGGACGACCTCCTACGCAACTGGGATGACGAAAGAGTCCAATTCAGGGGTCAGGAACTACTTGTCCAAATTCTCATTAATTTAAGCTACTTACGCAACTAAACACCTAAATTTACTTGGGGTTTCCCCCTAAAATAAAATTTTTTTACTCTTAGAACCACTCGAGGTTCTCCTTACGGTTGTTGAGCTTGTCACCGTCAATGTGTCTGACCCTCGTCTTCTTGTCTGGATTTGGAACCCATTGCATACCGACAAGCCTTCCCATGGAAATTGTACCGTAATTCCGAAGGGTAAGGTTCAAGTGTCCCAAGTTGTTGAGGACTGGGGTAAGAACCTTGCCTGTCTCCTTGTTGCGGATTTGGTATGGGTAGGGTTGGGAAATTTCGTAAGTGTCATCGGCAACAAGGGTTGCCCAAACTTCCTCTTCTTCGTGTTTCTCTTCTTCCTCTTCTTCCTCTTCCTCTTCTTCGTGTTTCTCTTCTTCCTCGACAATTCCTTCTTCAATTCTGTGTTCACGAAGTACGGTGTTGCATGTTCTGTCCTTTCCGAGTACCTTCCAGATGGCGTCTATCTCTTCGAAGAAACGGTAGATGAGTCTGGCAAGGTCTCGGTTCTCTCTCGCGTAAATGCGCAAGGTTTCCGTCAAATCATTCAGGCATTTCTCATTGGAAGCTTGGTTCATGAGGACATCGGCTTTGAGCTTGGTCATCTCTTCCATAAGACTACTTTGGAGAGTCTTACGGTGTTTGTCAGATGAGCTTTCAATTGGGCAATTTGAATTTGAACTGGGCGCTTTTCTGGCAACCTTGAAAGGACATCTGCCATTGAGTTTGGCTTCGGTGCTTGTTCGGACATCGAAAAAATGAAGTGGTTTGAGAATGGGTTTTACTTCAAAAAGCTTGTTATGACAGTTATGTCATACAACAAGTTTAAAATAATATCTTGTTCTTCTTCTGAACGTTTGTTGTCTCTTCCGATAAAAGTTTCGAACATGAGAACCAAAAAACGTTTTTTGAGATTGCGGAAGAGTTCAGGCAAACGTTCATATTCTGGATATGTTGGGAGCAGTTCGAAACATCTGAGCTGACTTTCGGACAAAATTGGGACAATGTCAGAAAATTCATCTTTGGTCGGACTGCTTGAAGGTAAGTCCCTTACATGTAAGTAGCTCTGGTAAAGTCTTCTCATTTCTGCTAACTTTTGGAGTATAGCTTCGTAGTTTAGAAGTTTTAATTTTAATTGTCTTATTCCACTCTTTACTTCTAAACGGTAACTATCCATGAGGTCAAGAGTAGCTTTGGTAGCTTTAAGTGGAGCTATCTGTTCCTTGACTCTGCAATTTTGGTTGCAATTGTGGTTTGAGCTCCTTCAAGTTCGCCGTCTATGTCGTTCTCAACGCCTTCAACCATGGCTTGAAACTCTTCATCGGTCCATTGAGATTGGTGTGGGACGAATTTAACTTGCTTCATTCAAAAAATGAAAAAAATGTTTTTACTCAAAGCGTGCCATGTATATGGCTATAAGAAACTTACCAGAAGGCTTCTTCTTCACATGAGTCTTTGGCAACTTGAGTGTTGGTGTTGGAGTTGGGTCTGGAATTTCAATTCTCTCTCGAGCGCAACAACAGATGTCAGAATAACATTCCCCACTGTCTTTCTTGCCACCATAAATTGTGTATTGACCGAACTTGCATTTGCAGGAAGACCGGTCAATACAAGGTTCACAGTTGAAATAGTTGTACACAAACCTGTTGAGTACGAGTGTGAGTAAAAACATAAAAAAAAGTGAAGTTAAAATGAGATGTTTACTGAACTGGCTGAAGAATTGGTTGGATGTCGCCTTCTGAGGTTATGAAGAACGGCTGTCCAGAGTAGTGAAGTAGTGCTCTGAGAATTTGTGTAATTCGTGGAATTGGGCTCTCACGATATGGAAGTAGTATCCAAGGACGTTTCATGAAGAACTTCAAGAGGGCTTCTTTCTTCACATCCTTAATATCATCGAATGCAGTGCCTTCTGGAACTTGAATTGCAACACCTGTTTCAATTTCCAACTTTAAGACACTATTCTTGGACAACCAGAAGCCAATGGACTTGCTTGGTTTGCACTTGCTGAGATATTCCTTCACGGTTTCATTTACCTCAATTAGATAAATTGCTTCGTCTAAGGGGTCAAGCTCCATACTGAGTCAGTACAATATTGTACTTTTTCAAGACAATGTTGTACTTTTTCAAGACAATGTTGTACTTTTTCAAGACAATATTGTACTTTTTCAGAACAATGTTGTACTTTTTCAGAACAATGTTGTATAAATTCAGTACAATGTCTCTCAAATTTGAGTACAGCTGTACTTTTTCAGAACAAGTCTTGAACTTTTTCAGAACAATGTTGTACTTTTTCAAGACAATGTTGTACTTTTTCAAGACAATGTTGTACTTTTTCAAGACAATGTTGTACTTTTTCAAGACAATGTTGTACTTTTTCAAGACAATGTTGTACTTTTTCAAGACAATATTATATTGTTTCAGAACAAAGACGGTTAAGACACAAACGAATGTCCGACGTCCCACCTACTGAACCCGTTCCACAGCCAGAGGAACAGCATGCTCCAGCACCACAACAGTCTCCTCAGCAACCTCAGTTCCAACAAGGACCTCCGAATTACTACCAATTTCCACCTCAAGGTTACTACCCACCACAAGGCTTTCCAAACTACCCACCACAAGGCTTTCCAAACTACCCTCCTCAACCCATGCCTTACTTCCCTAACCCTTGGATGTTCATGTCAAACCCTCCACCCCAATTCCAATCTCAATCCCAATCGAAGAGAGACCAAGAGTTCGAAGAAGGTCTGAACCGTTTACGCAAAGAGTATGCCACAGCCCCTATGGAAGATGACAGGCTTTCAGTCTCTTCCCTAAGGTCGACCAATTCGACTCGTACCACAGATTCGGTTCGTGACCGTGAAGACTACCTCAAGCAGTCTGAGAGACTCTTCATCTTACAGCCATTTACAGTTGGAGCTCTCAAGAACATGCGCAATTACGAAGGTCAGACACCAGCTGGAGACCGCAAAACAGACGTACTCGCAAGAGCAGTCCAACTGGTCAAGACAAAGACTGAGATAGTCGACTTCATTCTTGCAGCTTGCCCATACAAGTAAAAAAATAAACAATTACGAGTTAAACTTTTTACTCTTTCTTTTCTGAGTTGTTTAGAGCTGGTTTCTCTTGTAGAAACCTTTCGTACTCTTCCATGGTCATGTAATTGCGAATTTGGTACGCAATTCCAGGTTCGTTGTTTTTGAACCTTACGTATGTAACGCTTCCATCCTCCTCAGGGAAGTAAGCTGCTAACATCTGACCAAGTTTTCTCGGTGACTCGGAGCTCATAAAAATGTCACTTTTTAAACGTTAAGTTTTTAGTCTTATTTTACCCTTTGTTTGTCAAGGTAGTATTGGAGTGCAATTTCTCCAAATTCTCTGTGTCGGAGTTCTTCAGCATTTTCCAAGGTGTACCTGGAGAACTCAAAGAAGTTGTCAAGAAGATACTGCCATGCTGCTCTTCTGAGTTCGTCGGTATTTTGGAAGTGTTGCACCTTCGAGTCTTCGGACATGAAAAAATGACACTTTTTCTATTAAACCGTTTTGGCATTTCTCATGAGTGAGTATAGTTCTCCCGAACCATTGGAAGAGAAGAAGTACCCTTGCTGGCAAAAGACAAAAATAGTTGCCTTAGTTGTCATTGCAATTGTACTCGTAATTGAATTCATTGTACTTCTCTTCACGTACATAAAACTCAAGGACGGCATATGCTTTAAGAAGCTACCATCTTACTAAGACTAAACACTTAGATTTTTCAAGCTTGACTTTTTACAATTTGAACTTTGTTGCTGAATTCAATAAAAATATATTTTAGGTGAAGAGGTGAGATTTCACCTCTTTTTTCACCTCTTTTTTCACCTCATGAATTTTCATGATTTCATCGTAAATGTTTTGTCAAACATGAACGTAAATGTTTTGTCGAAACTTCATCGTAATGAGCGTAAATCAGACAAAAATATATTTTAGGTGAAGAGGTGAGATTTCACCTCTTTTTTCACCTCTTTTTTCACCTCATGAATTTTCCCGAAATAAAAAATAAAGTTGGTTTTTTTAAAAAAATATTTTTTTATTTTTATTGTAAGAACATGTTAGCAACAACAGCACCAAACTCTTTAGTCATGAACCCAACTTCAATGTTAGTAGAGATGAAAAGCTTCATTCCTTCTTCATATACTTTCGAAACAACAATCCAGAAGATAAAGCAA